ACAAACTGTCAAGCGCTTTTAAAAACGGGCATTCGACCAAAACACCAAGTTCAGCAGCCACCTCATCCAACAGCTTCGGATGAAGTGATTCATGGCCGGAAGCTTTAGAGGGGTTAATACCTTACAACAACTCGAAGAACTGAGTCCTCGTCATGTTAAACTCAACTAAGAAAGAATTTTCCGGAACTTGAAGCTAATTCAACCTGCGGCAAAGAGGTCTCACGATAAAAGACGCTATTAAACATTACGCTAAATATAAACGCCTTATCATAAACGGTGTGCGCACGGATCACGCTCGCTCGCATTAACGCAAGTATAAGCGGGTTTGCTCCACTGCTCCAATTTGGGTAAGCAGAAAACTTCTTAGGATTAGTGGTAGGCGAATCAACTAACCCCTCCCGAAATAAGGACGAGCAGTTCTATGCTGTTGCTTACGTATATTTCTAAAGTCTCGATAACTGTCGTAGGAGCCTCGGTTGCTTGGTATGTTTGCTAGCATCTAGACTGTTTCTTGAGTAGGTATTTACCTGTGGTTTTATCCCTATAAACTGTGCCCGCAGCTTCCTTTACAGCATGAGTAGGATGTATGGAGAATAACTTACTATAAGATACTTCTTAAAGTTATCCCTGGCTAACTGGACAGAGTCTGTCATCGAGATCACACAGTGCAAAATTGAAACCGAAGCTAGCATGCACTATAGGCTATATATATATATATATTTGCAAAAGTCTGCTAACAGACATAATGCCATCAGAAACCATGGGATTCAAACGAAGGTACAGAAACAGCAAAATAAAACAAAACACAACAATGTCCATGGTTTCCTCAGAGGGCGAGATACTACCCGGTTGCCCAAGCCGAAGTAGGGTGTTGACTTAGGGGACACCATCCCGAGCCTTTGGCTGAATAGCCTGCCCGCAAAGCAGCGGAGCGAATTCAGGGAATCGCGCCCATTGGGAGCCGGTGACTGATTGCTCAGTTCATACGCCTTTCGTTTGTTCCAATGTCAAACAGGGGCCCAATGCTCCCCAGAAGTAAAATGTGTCAGCTTATACGCCGTAACGGCACTTCGTTGCCGCGCGACCACCACCAGTCGCACGCGGGCTGAGTATACCGCGAGGACGCCCACCCCTACGCGGATTCGAACCGGTGACCTTATGGTTGGAAAGCAAACGTGCCAACCACTCGGCCACCGGCCGCCAAATATTCAGAAGCAATTCAACTGCAGCCTGTTGATGCCTTGAAAGAGCACACCAAAAGGATATGCACACGTGAGCGCTGGTTCCTAGAGGTGTACCGCACGAAACGTCAACCCTAAGTTCAGGGGACTTGTCGAAAACCAGATCTAAAGTAGATGGCATTTGTGTGTTCATATAGCTAGTGGGAAAGTCCACGAACTTGTGCAATGACACTTAGATGGTCAGCTAGGGATAGTCTGCACCGAAAGTTTCTGACACCCAATTGCACGCCATTAGTCTAAAGTACCTTAGGGAGATTAAAACCCTTTAGAAATAGACACCTATTCGCAGAATGAGTGCTTCCAGGATTTCTGTACAACCCTACAACTGCATATCAGGCAAAGGAAGTGCAAATACCATCAGATAGGGTTACAACAGTCAGATCCAACGATTGAACTGTGCAAGTCTTTAGCACCTTTACTTTAATGATTACATAACTTTCCACGCCTCTGTCTTGGCGATTGACTGAGCCACCAGTTGTTAGCAGTGCGTAGCCAGGCAAACATAACTCACCGTCCGTGATATCAAGTTACAAACACGGTTCAGTGAAAGTAAGTATGTCGGAACGAGACGCGTCTACAAGTAGACTAAATTTTGCACCTGGTTCTTTAAGCAACTCACATCGCTAAGTACTACCTGCCGGAACTCCGCATGACCAGCGTTGTGTCATGCGCTATCAGCAATGGTTCTGGTGGGACGGAAATTGACCTACGGCTGACCACTGAAAGCTTACAAGACGAAAGCCTTGCTTACCAGCCGCTCGTCTGTTTTTAAAGTCTTTGATGGTCGCCTTCAATTTTAGCCTAGCTGCCAATGGAAGATCGGGCCAAACGCCGACATTGCTACCCTTGAGCTTGACTGTTATGTGCGGTAATTATTTGTGTTCCTCCAGAGTATAAAAAGCTACGCGAAGTAGTTGAGGTCGCCAATTTGGCATACCCACAGGGACGATCTGCAATCTGGTCAGTCTTCTGACAGTGACACCGGGGAAGCCGGATCTAAGCATCGTAGTGCTAAAGAAATTGAGCCAGTTGATGACATTCAACAAACGGTCCCTTGGAAGAGCTGTCGTATATTTAGTAATGTTACGGAATATAACGATACCATCCATGAACGAATCATGCCGGCAAGGTGTGTTTACCCCAAATGTCTATGATTCAACGCGAAGACCAGGTTGCTTCACTACTTGTGATGGAACAAGACAGGACATGACAGGATCCAGGGACGAAATAAGCTTCCACTTAACAAGCGTCCTGTTTCATGTGCCAGTAAGCGAAAAAGAGCCCCCAGCATTGCGACGTGATAGAATATTCTTGATTCTATAATGGTGAAAAACAGAAGCGTGCAAGACGAACAACCCACTATCATGTAACAATGACATTAGGAGCAGTCATTGGAGTTCAAGTAAATCCAGGAAACAGGGCCAGCCAATGTTTGTCTAGACTACATTTAAATTCCTCCGCAGTTTCGGATTCTAATAAAGCAGAAGAATGTTTATTCTAGACAGACACAACCAGGTTTGCAAAGAACCTGGCTCTTAACTCTAGCGTAGATGTATGATGCTTCAATCTCATGCAATGGCTCCGCAAGTTTTCTGATGTAGCTGGTTAAAACAGATCATTTGGCCTGAGACCACTGAGATCTTTCGTGATTTTGAACGTCTCTATTAAGTCATCACTTAATCTGTGTCTTTCAATGATAACGAACCCAAGTTAACTAGCCGATCTACATACGGCAAGCCGCGCTGGCCTTCTATCATTCGTGTGCCTAGTCGTTGCATATTCTCAATACAAATACTATCTTTCTGCAGGTAGTGTTCCCACGCCTAAACACAGTATTCCAGATGTGGTCTGACCACAGCTCTGAACAAAGGAAGAAAGACCGCTGGCTTGGTACAACTCAGAACCCTCCTGAGACGAAATAATGCCTGTCGCATTTTATTAGTCGAATGCTTGCACTGTGCAGACGGCTTTAACTCACTCGTCACGATGACACCTGGATCACGTGCTTCGGTGAGATGCTGCAGTGTTAGGAACCCATTAGATGTATGCTCAGTAAATTCTTCATCACGCGGGGTTGGGATTTGAGTTTTACTGGTGTTCAATGGTAAGTCCCGCAAAAATGTGGCCAATTAAGAACGGTAGCAGAATCTCTAGATAACAAAGCCCTGTCCCCTTTACTGACAAGCTTCAAGTCGTCAGCAAACGTATAGGGGTCTAAAAGTAGAGGGACCAAGTCATTTATAAACATGAGAAATATCCACGGATCGAGTACTTATCCCTGGGGTACTCCAATGTGAGCAGTGCCTGTCGTCGAAATAACGTCATCAACCCTAACACGAAATGTCCCACCATAAAAGAACGCTGACAGCCATGAAAGCAGTTGCGGTGGGATTCCAAACCAGGACATCTTTTCTAACAGGAAACAGTTGTTAACGGTATCAAAAGCTTTACTGAAATCAAGGTAACATACTTCTACTGGTATGCCATCATCCAGACATCGAGTTATTTTATCAAGGAAACAGAGCAGGCTGGTAAGACATGATTTTTCTTGACGAATCCATGCTGCTCTGATCCGATCAAGTTATTGGCAGTAAGATTTTCACAGATTCGATTCCTAATGATCTACTCCAGACACTTGAGATCGCTAGTCACACTAACAGGCCGGTAGTTATTGGGTAAAGATTTAGTACCAACCTTATGCATCGCCACTACAACTGTTTCCTTCCAATCCTATGGTATTCTCTCCTCACGAAAAGACAAGTGGTACAACTCGAGAATAGGAAGCTGGAATATGTCGGCAAGCGGCTTAACAATAGCGGGATACATATTCTCGGGGCCACGTGATTTGTATGGGTTTAAGTCCTTCAATAAAGAGAAGACATCCGAAGCAGGTATAATGATTTCCTCCAATGTGCACTCACGCGATGCGAAGACAACGGTATTGGAAAACAACTGTCCGCTCGAGGAACTCTCTGGAAAACACGCAGCCACCACTGCGTCTTATCAAGGTCTCGTATAGCCTGTTGCCCATCTTCTGCGATTAAGTTGCCAACTACGTCCCTTAAAGAGGCTTTAGATAGACTGTCTCTATTCCTTCAAAGACAGTTGAAGCAACAGCTGCGTACGTTTTACACCCTGCTGTCGGTGCCTTACTTTTCCTGGGTCTTGGAGCCCGCCCGGCGGATTACAGATACTTTAGTCTGCTTCTCTTTTTGGTTACCGGAAGTAGACAACCGTGACCCAGTGTTGCCTTGGGCAAACAGGCCGTCAGAATAGTAATGGCCAGTACGTACTGCTGACAAGTAATGCGTAGGAGAATTTTTCCGCTACACGACCGTAATCAACGAGTGACATTTGTATTTTAGGTGTTGGGACAGCAAATGCTCCGGGTTTACCAGGGAGCATGGAGAAGCTGTTGTCTCGCTGTTACTTCCTTCTCTTGGGCTCATAAACCGCAATTCAGCGTCGTGCATGGTATAGTTAATTACGCTATCCGAAGCAATTTCATTTATGTGATCTGCAGTCAACGGGACTGGTGACAAGGTACATGGTTACAAGTGTGCTGTTAGTGTTGTACGTATCGCAAACCCCACTGTGGTTTCTATACTATAGTGACATTGGGATGATTAGTTACCATTGCGATGCGAAATATAGGTTACGCGCGTATTCGTTGGTGGATTAGGTAACTGTTAAGGGAAATTTGCTTACATTTATACAACAGGTTTCGCAAATGAAAAGATACAAACGCATTTAATGCACCTTTTTCTCAGTTAGTTTCCTTTGTTTTTTCTCTTCCCGCTCCTTCAACTGACGTAATTTGCTTTCTTCTTCTGCACGAAGCTGAGCTTCTATTACCACCAGTTACAAAAGGACAAAAATAAAGCACCTTCTTCTAAGCGTAAACGCTCTTCCTCCTCTCTTTTCTTCTTTGTTTTACTGGGTTTGGGAGGCTGAACATTTTATTGTACACGGGAAAACTAACCATGTGTTTGAAACAATCGCGCTTAGATTGCTATGACATTTCAAGGCCGTACCCAAAATAACATATTAACTATTACCAGAACTAGAAATGGGACAATGCTAGTAGTACATTACATTACTCAAACATAAACTGGTTTTAAAATTAAACATGAATAGGTTAAACGGTTAACGGCGGCACTGTAGATTGTCATGCGGTCTCCCGTTTGGACGCATGTGGCGTGCTCACTCTGCTCTCTGGCATAATTTTGCAAGTGTTCGACTTATTTTGGAACACTGTGGTAGATTACTGCACACCTAAACGCCTACATGATCAGGATGACGCAGCATACGACTTCTCGCAAGCTCATGGCTGATGCACTCAATCATCCTCAAGATATCTTGGAATCCTCTCTCTACCGGAGTCCACTAACCGAATGCTTGAGCACGGAATCCTAATCTTTACTCCTCTTTTAAAACGTTCGAGTCATATGTCTATGCCTTAACGGAGCGCTTTGCCCCACCAGTTTTTCTCCGCTCTCCTCCTTTACACACCTGCTTCTCTCCTCATTCTCCATGCATTGACAAATAGCTTTGCTTACCTAAAGACTTAGTCACTCAAGATTGGTGTGGCACCTCATTACTAACAGTGCTGTTAATTATGAACTCACCCTTCTTTGTAAGTTACTGACTTATCCTGTGCATGCGGGAATCCACTCACCCCATGCACGGGGACGGGAACTTAGCCTACATTTTCAATTCCGAACGTTGGCTTTCTACAGTTTAATGTTTAGCATGACAGGGCGTGACCTTGCGTGGATAACTAAGCTAAGGGGATCGTTGCACTTGGGGTACACAGCTTTGCTTCTCCCTCTGCTCTGTATCTTAAAGTTCGGATTACTGTGGTCTCTTATTAGTTAGTTGTGAGCTGTGCTGTTTGATAGCCGGATGAAAAAGTTGTGTTGCTCCGTGATGTTCGGTGGTACCAATTGTACATAGCAACGGTTGCCTAGTGACATTGTCAAGGAGGATGAATGTGCAAATACCTGGAAAATAGGTGGAGGGTGTGTGTGGGAATTGGATTGTGTGTTAAGTACGCTGCCGTGGAAATGGTAACCTGTATTGTTGCATATGCATGCTGTTTGTTTTGTTTTTGGCGGCCATACTGGTTTTTCTGCTATCGCTATGGTTGTGGATGATAGTGAGCTGTTCAGGTCATTGGTTATTTGGAAGTATGAAAGTGTTGAATACCTGGAGAAGCAATTGGGACGTCTTCAGATTGAAACTGCGACTTGTTTTTCCCGTTCATCCTCCAAGTCTGCTGCGGCCTACCATAGTGGAAGGAGGAAGCAGTTGCCGGATGGGGACTGCCACGGTTACATCATGTACCGTTGCGTTCATTGTAAACGTTCAGGATCGCGTGGCAAGCGGTAAGTTAATATTTATGCAACATGGGGATTAATGCATAGAGATACCAATCCTACAATTGCGAGGCGCGATTCTCCGTGGTTTGCAAGGAAGGGAAATGTGTCGTGCGAAGTTACTTCATGACGCATAGTCATGATTTTTACTTGGGTAACCCCTGGTTGTATGCACGCAACCGTCGGCTTTCTCCTGTGCAAGAGAAGGAAGTTCTTCGTTTGATGGGCAGTTTCGATAGCACGCCTGCTTTGCGGCGCTTCTTCTAGCAGGAGTACGGCAAACGTGTAACCTGTTTGGACCTGAGCAATTTGCGCCTTCGTCACCGGAATGCAACCGCATGTGAAGTGTCCGAGGTGGCGAAGATGTTGGAAAGGCACGGTGTGTGCCGATCGGTGTCGGAGGGAAGTCAGATTCGCTGTGTTTTTCTCTCCATCGCTTGTTCGCGTTATTGTGAAGCGTTATGGGGAGGTGTTATTATGCGATACCACGCACCAACTCAATTATGGTGGCTACGTTTTGTGTCATTTCATGCTGGTGGACGGCACAGGTCTAGGGATTTCCTTTATCTACGCCCTATTATCTGATGGGACGTCGTACAGCTACGGGCAGGCGGTGGAGGCTATGCGGGAGATGGTGCCTAGCAGCGTACGTTGCCACACTGTGGTGATGGATAAATGTGCTGCGCAGTTCCGGGCGTTTCGCTGTTTTTATCCCAACGCGAATGTCGTGTTTTCAGGTACCATGTTAAAGTGGACATGGCTCGACGTTGCGGTCGCTTATGTGGTATCTCAAATGCCCGCCGTATGCAATTACGCGGCTGGCTGCATAACCTTATATATACTCGTGATGCGTCGGTATTTGATGGAATATTAAACGCGGTGCGGCGTGCAAATCCGGAATGCCACGGTTATTTGTGCTTAACGTGGCTTTCACACGTGGACTCGTGGGCGGCTCACAGACTAAGGGATACTGTGCTTTTTGGCTGCCACTCCACGAACAGGGTAGAGAATGAGAACAAACATCTGAAGGAGTATTTGTCTGAGATGTCATCGCTACTCGCTCTGTTCACCTGCGTTGATAGGTTGAACGATATCGTGCACGAAAGGAACGGCATAATAGGTAGGCGGTGCATGAGCGTAATTGCTGTTCCATTGGAGTTGTCCTCAGTGGCTTCCGTTTTCGCACGCCCTAGCGATTTTGCAGGCAATGTGTTCATAGCGCATTTCCGTTGGTCAACGGTTCTAGGTTGCAGGTCTGACGGGCCTTACTGGTTTGTTACGTGTCCGCGTTCGAAAGTGCTTCGGGTATACATCACACGGGGCAGTGAGTGTAATTGTGAGTTCAGTCGGCAGTGGCGGCTCCCATGTGCTCACATTTGTTATGTGGCGGAGCGTCACAGACACTCCGCGGAGGACATCCTACATGGATGTCGGTGGATCGCACCCCGGCAACCTTTCGCAGAATCCTCAGAGTTCGTTGCGTCTGATCAGCGTGTGCAGATTCTAGACCGTAATGTAGGGGACAGCAATGCCGCTGTAAGCCGCACCATTAAACTTCGCAAAACGCAGCACGTTTTGGCGGACATCGGCACTCCATTGGTGAGCTAAGGATCGGAGAACTTCTCCGCTGCGTTGACCTACCTGAAAATGGTTTCGTTGCTCATGTCCAAGGTTGCCACTTTTCAGTTGTATGGGCGAACGTCGTGGTGGCCTGTTCCCCTTCATTTAGATAACGAGGCAAACGTACAGATGTTATGCAGCTTGCCTACGCCGGGAACGTCTGATGGTGGCGCAGCCACCGCGGTAGCCAGCACGTCAGCAGGCGAAGTGCGTGCCCGTTTGCAAGTAACGCAGGTGAATGACCTGCTGTCTGCAATTGCCATGGCAACACCTGTGCCATCAACATCGACAGGTGCGTCCAGGAAACGTAATGGCCCCTTAAATGCAGGGTGATGGAGGTTAGCCCCAATAACAGTGCGCTAAAGGGTAAAGTGTTCGGTAACCTTTGCACCCGAACATCCTCCGGCTACAGGGTTCCCGTTAAACCGAAACACCGTACTCAGGGCTTGGTTTCAGAGGACGTCTGCGGAGTCTGTCAGCACGAGGATGATGTAGAATTTGGCGGTGAATCGGTGCAATGGGTGATGTGCGACGCCTGCTCCCAATGGTACCACGCGTCATGTGTGTACTTTGCGGGTGAAGAGGAATTCATTTGCTTCTCGTGCTCCTCTTAGTGTCAGCATAACGTGCCTGACCGGCGTAGCATGTTAACCGCTTCAGGTATCTCAAATTTCCGTGCCCTTACACTGAGTCCATTTCGCTTAGAGCACACAGTGCTTAACTTTCCCGATGATATGAACACCTGCGAATGCGAATTGAACATGGTGCCGAGAGATTGGCAGCATCGATGAAACATTAGGCAACGGTAAGTTCCTACTACTATTCCCGTTATGAACGCTCATTTAGGCACCGTAATTCAGCTGTCATTTCCACAGGGGAACTCAATGCCAGTGAATTTGTTGCTATGTACGTTGCATCTCCTTTGATGATTGCATGTTACCCATGCTTAGGTGACCTGAACGTTCTTTGAAACATCTTCACAGGTATTGGTTCTTATGCATCATGAATGCTGTGTAACAGGTAAACGGATATACGCTGCCAATTGTTTTTCGACTTTGCGCCGCTACGGAGCAACGTCTGACGCATCGCCTCCGCCATGGGAACCTTCAATCATACGTCCACAAAGGTATGGTTTCTGATCCATGATGAATGTTGTTTAACAGTGAAACCGACATGCACCTCCCATCGGCTGCCTACTTTGCGCCGCCACTGAGCCACCTGCCCGCATTGCCTCCGCCATGTGCACCTTTATTCATACGTCCTCACAGGTAAGATTTCTGATGCATGATTAATGTTGTTTAACAGTGAAACCAACATGCATCGTCCATTGCCTGCGTACTTTGCGTCGCCACTGAACCAACCGCCCGCATTGCCTCCGCCATGTTCACCTTTATTCATACGTCCTCACGGGCAAGGTTTCTGATGCATGAGTCAGGAAGATTTGTGAATGGTTTTAACATCTGCCGTCACCGGTGCCTCAGCTTTCGGTCGTGCGGTTAACAATACCATTGCCTTGCGCCGTTATGAAGGATAATGCCGGTGTGTGTTCCGGCGGCGGCGGATAGTTACAATGCTGTCAGGCGACCGCTGACGGGTCAATTGACCGTTTAACGTCCAAGGGGGTTACGCGTAGGGTCGGTAGGAACCGTCCCGGTTTACCTGCAATGCATACATTAGTCTCTTTGTGGACAATGGACGGCGGTCCAAAATTGGGAACTTGAGGTCCTGTAGTATGCTTCCGAGACTTCGCTTGGCGTGGTAATTCTGCAACTGCATATGACTATAACTTAGCCACATCGGGACGTCCGGGTTCACCTCATTTCAATGCACTGCTATGGGATTGATGGGAATCCATGGTGGAGAGCTGGGAAACACGGTTGCTTTCAGCTGCTGGTCACTGGCGTGTCCATAGGGAGTTGCGTGGGGTCATCGGCAACCCGGCCTAATGCGTTACATACCGATTGAAAGCAAACACTCCGTCGTGCACCGTCTACGTCTTGCAGAGGAGACATATCAAA